CAACGAATTCTTCAGCCTGACTGGTAAGAGGGGCAAAGCCAGCAGCTGGCAGAACGGGGTTGCACAGGAAAACTAGGTCAGACAGACTCAGGCACAAGGATCCCAGGCGTGGGGTTGCAACAGGCGGACCCAGCAAGGGCGCAGGGCGGCAGGCTGACCGTGGTCACACATTCGAGAACAGATAGACCGGCAAAGGAGTGAGCAGTGAGAGGGGACTGAGCAGGCCCCAGTGGTGGGAAGCAGCAGAGGAGGCCGCTATTGCCCCACTCCGGCCCTGCTCCAACCCCGCCCCGACCCCACCCCCACATACAGTGTCACAATCCAGCGACCTGGGCGGCCCCGCCCTGGTGAACATCTCAGGCTCCGCTCCTCATTCTTAACGAGCGCAAAGAGACCAAAAATGGCTCAAGAAGATCTCAAAGCCACAGAGCCCATAACTCTAAGCGATGAAGAAATAGCAAAACTTTCAGATGCACAGTTCAAAACACTGGTGATCAGAATGCTTACAGAACTGGTTGATTTTAGTCACAAATTAGAGGAACATATGAAGGCTAAACTAATTGAAATGAATGGAATTGCACAGGAAACCAATAGTGATGAAAAGGAAACTGGGACTCAAATTAAGGGAGTGGACCAGAAGGAAGAAAAAAATGACCAGCCAAAAAAATATAAAGAAACTAGAATTCAAAAAAATGAGGAGAGACTTAGGAAGCTCCAGGACATCTTTAAATGCTCCAATATCTGAATTATAGGGGTACCAGAAGGGGAAGAGGGACAGCCACCAGTGGAAAATTTATTTGAACAAATAATAAAGCAGAATTTCCCCAATCTGGCAAAGGAAATGGAAATCCAGGAAGCTCAGAGAGTCCCAAAGAAGTTGGACCCAAGAAGGAACACACCAAGGCACATCATCATTACATTAGCCAAAATTAAAATGAAGGAGAGAATCCTAGAAGCAGCAAGAGCGAAGGGGACAGTCACCTACAAAGGAGTCCCCATCAGACTGTCAGCAGATTTCTCAAAAGAGACCTTACAGGCAAGAAGGGGCTGGAAAGAGGTATTCCAAGTCATGAAATCCAAAGACCTACAACCAAGATTGCTCTATCCGGCAAAGCTTTCATTTAGAATGGAAGGGCAGATAAGGTGCTTCTCAGATAAGATCAAATTCAAGGAGTTCATCATCACCAAGCCCTTATTATATGAAATGTTAAAGGGACTTATCGAAGAAAAAGAAGTTAAAAAAAAACATGAACAGTGAAAGGACAGCAAACTCACAGTGATTAACAACCACACCTAAAACAAAAGCAAACTAAAAGGACAGCTAGATCAGGAGTGGAAACATAGAAATGAAGATCTCAAGGAGGGTTAGCAACAGGGGAGTGGGAGGAGGAGAAGGGGGGAGAAGGTACAGAAAATAAGTAGCATAGACGTAGGTAGAAAATAGATGGGGGGGGGCAAGAATAGCATGGGAAATATAGAATCTAAAGGAATTGAGACACATGGTCATAAACTAAAGGGGGGGTAATGGTGGGGATGGGGGGGTAGGGTGGAGGGGAATGAAGGGGGGAATAGAACAACTGTAACAGCATAATCAATAAAAAATTTTGTAAAAAAAAAACCAAAACAAACAAAAAAAACAAAATGAGAAGACAACCAACAGTACAGGAAAAAAAATTTGCAAAACATATCTGAGAAGGGTCTAGCATCAAGAATAGATAAAGAGCTCTTATAACTCAACAATTAAAAGACAACCTAATTTTTAAAATGGGTAAAGGATTTGAACAGACATACAAAGAAGGATCAAACGAGCACGTGAAAAGATGTTTAACATCATCAGTCATTAGGGAAATGCAAATCAAAACCACAGTGAGATATTACTTTACAGCTACTAAGATGGATGTACGTATGTACATGTGTGCTTGTGTGTGCGCGCATGCACACAGGCGTGTGTGTAATGATGTTGAGGATTTGGGGAAGCTGAAATTCTCATGCATTGTTGGTGAAAATGTGAAATGGTGCAGCTGCCATGGCAAACAGTTACTCAAAAAGTAAAAACAACTCAGTTTATTCATTAATAGATGAATGGATAAACAGAATGCTGAATATACACACAACAACATATTACCCAGCTACAAAAGGAAGCAAGCACTGATACATGCTGCCACATGGATGGACCTCAAAATGTTGTACTGAGTGCAAGATCCCACTGAATAATGGTTTCACTTAAAGAGGGAGAGACTACATATTTTTCATAAATGAACCAACTTACAAAGTGTACTCATTTATTTAAGGCAGATGATTTTTAAAAATAATTTTGTACGAAACCCCCAAAATTGGTGAAAATATTTTTTTTAGGTAGGACAGATATTTTGATTTTTGTTGGGGGTTTATTTTTGAAACTTTATTTATTTATTTCTAGAGAGACAGGAAGGGAGGGAGAAAGGGAGAGAAACACTGATGTGTGAGAGCTACATCAATCGGTTGCCTTTCGCACCCCCCCCCACTGGGGACCTGGCCTGCAACCCAGACAAGTTCCTGACAAGGAATTGAACCAATGACCCCTCAGTTCACAGGCCAACACTCAGCCCCCTGAGCCACACTAGCCACGGCAGGGACAAATATCTTTTAAAAAAGAAAGAAAGGAAGAATCCAGACTCAAAAGGCCACACAGTATAATTTCTTTTACATGAAATGTCTAGAATAGGTAGAGCCACAGAAACAAAATGAAAATTAGTGGTAACCAAGATTTGGGGAGAGGATTAGGGGGCAAGAGAGAGAAAGTGACTGCTTAATGGGTACAGGTGTTCCTTTCGGAGAGATGAAATGTTCTGGAAATAGAAGTGGTAGTTGCATAACATTGTCAATGTACTAAATACTGCTGGACTGTACACTTTACAATGGTTAATTTTGTTTTTTATACTTTAGTGTTTATGTCATTACAGTTGTTTTATTTTTTCCTTTTTTTTGTCCCCCTCCATCCACCCTCCCGACTCCCTCACTGTTGTCTATGTCCATGAGTCACGCACACATGTTATTTGGCTAATAATCCCCACACCTTCTTACAACCAGTCTCCACCTCCCCCCTCTCCTCCTACAGCTGTCTGTCTGTTCCATGTTTCCATGACTCTGATTCTAGTTTGCTCGTTAATTTATTTTGTTCATTAGATTCCACATATAAGTGGAGATCATATGGTATTTGTCTTTCACTGCCTGGCTTATATCTTTCACTGCCTGGCTTATGTCACTTAGCACAATGCTTTCCAGTTCCACCCATGCTGTCATGAAGGGTAGGAGCTCCTTCTTTTTTCTGCTGTGTTGTAGTATTCCATTGTGTAAATGCACCACAGCTTTTTTATCCACTCATCTCCTGATGGGCACTTGGGCTGTTTCCAGATCTTGACTATTGTAAATAACACTACAGTGAACATAGGGGTGCACATATTCTTTTGAATTGGTGTTTCAGGGTTCTTAGCATATATTCTCGTAAAGTGGTTAATTTTGTGCAAAGGTGGTATTATAGAATTGTACACCTGAAACCTATATATTGGTTTTATTAACCAGTGTCACCCCAATATGTTTGACAAAAAAGAAAAAATAAAATGGTTGATTTTGTGTTATGTAATATCATTTTGATTAAAAAGAAAGCTCACTAGCACCTGGTCTCTGCAGAGCTCTGCTCCCGGTCTGTGGTCAGGCCGCTAGCGGCTCCTGGTACAAGGAAAATGTCATGGGAGACTCTGGCCTTTGCCTGGGCTGGAGGAGCAGCGCGGATTCAGGACACAGTGCTCCCTCTCCTTTAGTGACTGATTTCTCTGCACCTAACTCCACAGTGTTGGTCACCAGCGATGGACAAAGGGGCTGAGGCAGAACGAGGTGCAAAGGAAATTGGCTTTGGACACTGACGTGGACAAGTACCCCTGGGACACTGTCTGCTTTAGGCATCCAGGGACACACCGTCCCCTCTTTGACAAACTCCTAGCTGTTAGGGTGACTCGTGGGGCCTGCATATTTAGGTCCTTTTCGATATTGTGATCTCCTCTCACAGCCACCCCTCCCCAGGCTGCCTCACCCCTGCAGGCCCTCACACAGCCCGCAGTCCTCCTTAGAACGCCCTCCCCCACTCCCCAGGGCCTTCCTCTGTAATCCCCACTGGACCTGGAAGACTCCCCGGGCCAGTGTCCCTGACAGGGCTGGGTGACACTGCCCACAGACAGAGCAGCCGACAGGCAGAGCAGGAAAGCAGGGCGCGCGCGCGCGCGCGCGCGCACACACACACACACACACACTCACTCAGCCGCAAGGTTGGCGTCTTTGTTCATCTGCCGATTTCTCGTTCAGTGCTATTACAACTGTAATTGCACCTGTGGGGACAGTAGGGGAGCCCTAGAATCTTCTCAGCTCTTCCGGGCTATGAAGACCTAGGTCTGGTTTCAACGACCCCCTCGGGCAGCGTTGGGGTTCCCCCTCCGGGGCCCGAGCTTACTGTCCTCAAGCTTCACACTGTGCTTGGGTCACCTTAGTTAACTTCACAAGTGCTTGCCCTTGAGGGCAGGGCCTGGGTCTTGGTGACCTCAGGCCCTGCTGAGCTGGGGGAACCCAGGAGCCTCGCAAATAACTACTCGAAAAAAAAAAAAAAAAGAAGTGCGCTGAGTTAGGGTCCAGCTCCACCACTCACTCGTGGGACTTTGAATACCCTGACCCCTCTGAGCCTCCGGTGCCTTAACTGTCACATGGAGTCACGACCCTGTTTTGACCACCTCCCAGGGCAGGAAGCGATCACACACGTGCAAGTGCTCAGCCCAGGACAGCAGTGTCACCTCCTTGCCTGAAAGCAGGGGGTCCTAGTGCGCTTCTTAAAAACGGAGCCAAGATCTTTGAAATCCGGGAAGGATGAGGGTGGAGACCTTACCAACCTCACCCCAGACTCCGCCCCAGACCCCGCCCCCTCCCTGTAACCTGCTCCCCTCCCTCCGCTGCCCCGCCCGGTCCGCTCCCCGCCCCCCTCACCCCTGCAGGACAGTCTCAGCCGAGCCCTCTGGGTCCGGGTGTTGAGGCGTCGAGATGCGGCTGTGGCTCTGCCTGCTCCTCGCTGCCGCGCAGGTGGCAGGTACGGGGGGCGGGGGGAGGGGGGTTTGGCTGGCAGCGCTCGGGGGCCGGGTGGGTGGTCTGAGTGGTGGAGCTTCGCAAGGCTGTTCGGGTAGGGGGCTGAGGGGCTCCTGGGCTCCCGGAGGCAGGCGGTGCGGCAGAGACAGCCCCTGAGGGTGGAGAGGAAAGTCCTCCAAGGAGCTCAGTATCTCGGGGGTCTGGGGAGCAGGACTGTGGCCACCTCTGCCCAAAAGCCTGGAGCTGGGAGACGAGGAGGCAGACGGGAGGGAAGGAGATAGGAAGGAAGAATAGAGAAAGAGGGAGGAGGTCTGGAGAGGAAGGAAAAATGCCCTCGCTCCAAGACAAGGCAAGATGTGTTCCCAGGAAGGTGCCAGAGGCCCAGTCCTGGTTTGGGTTGTCCCGCACTTGGCCCAGAGTTCTGTAGACACATTTTTATTACTTCCGCGCAAGTTTTCTCAGTACAATTTGTCAAATACCAGGCTGGTGCCAGTTCTCAGGTAACTATGGTGGGGTGTTCCCGCAGGCCGAGTTTCCCTGTTTCCCCAATGTTCCCTGAGGTTGGGTGCGCGTTGTGTGACTTCGGCAACAAGTAGCCAGTGGCTCCCAGCGATAGTCCAGGCTGCCCCTCTGACCAAGGCCAATCAGACCACCTCTTAGAGAAGTCCCTCCGCCTCCCAAAATACCTACTAACCGGGGCTTGGTTTGCTCTCTTGCCCAAAAGCCCCAAGCTGGACACCCCAGGAGGGGTGCCACACCTCGGCAACCCAGTGAGCTCAAGAACATCTGAAGTAAAAGCTGATCCGGGCCATTCAAAGCTACTAACATTATTGCTGATCACTTCAGAAACAGCAGGTCCCTCCCTCTGGGAACAGAGTCATCTAGCTTACTGATAGAATGAAATGAACCAAATGAGACCACACGTGTGACAAGACCTGGCTAGGTGTCTGGCACATAGACAGGGTTGGGCCTCGGCTGGACAGATAGTTCCCAGGGGCTGAAAAACAAGTGGTCACCAGAGAGAGACCAGGGAGTGTCTCGGCAGGAAGTCTTCATGTCATGATGAAGGAAGCGCCCCTTCCGACCTCTTTACCATGGAGGACTCACTTATGGGCTTTCTTAGAAGGTCTTTGAGAATCTGTGTATTTGTGGCCCCACTATGTGCGCAGAACCACAGGTTCCCTCAGTTCAGGGAGGGCCTCAAACTCAGGTTCTGGAGTTGCAGACCTGGCTTTGAATCTGAATCCACCCCACACAGGCTGTGCGACTCAGCGTGTCTTTAACCTTCCAGAGCCTCCATTTCCTCATCTTTAAAGTGGATGTGAAACAGGGTTTGGTGTGGATTAAATGAGATAGTACATGTACCATGTTTGGCAGGTTCAACAAATACTGGCATTTTCAATTCTTATCTCCCCCAAAAGGTCAGTGACCCAAAACAGTAAAGAACCACTACTCTGCTGAACGAGGCAGTATGGTATTTGGAGGGAAAAGCAAAGGCCCAGCAGCCACTTGGGCCCCAGGTGCCATTTCATTCTTGATATAAGCGGAAACCTGGAGTGATGAGAGTGGAGTGAAAAAGTTTAAGTTTACTTCATCAGTGTTAGAAAAGGCTGCTCTGGAGCCTGAGAACAAGCGTAGGCAGGATTGTGGGCACGGGCCATTGCCTCAGTAAGGCAGCCCCTCCTGGGTGTGTGTGTGCATGCACACACACACACACACACACACACACACACACACACCATTCTCTGGCCTCTCCTGCTCAGCCAGGTCTGTGTCCGCTGATCCTGGGTCTCTGCTGTAGCCTGCGCTCTCCCTCCACCCCACAGCTGAAATGAAAGGCTTGCTGAGTCAGATTCAGTTTGTTGGACTCTGTGGCAAAAAAATCCATCTCTTAAAATTTCTCCTTAAGATTTCATTTCCTGCCAGTAACAGCCCCTGATATGTGAGACACATGAACCATGGTCTGCCCATATACAGTGCTTCACAGTTTGCTTTCCTGGACGTGCTGGCCCTCAGAGGCAGTCAGATCAATGGCCTCAAACCACCCTCTTTTCCAACAGAAGAGGGACCATGACTCGCCTTAGGTTCCACAACTGGCGAGGCGCAGAGTTTGGGTGCAAGGCCAGGTCCCTGAGCTCTGCTCCAGTTTTCCGTGAACAGCCTCCTATGGGCAGTGCTTCCCGTCTGAGACTAAAAATGAGCTCCCAGCCCTGCTTCTGGGGTGTCTGTCCTCCCACTCAGGAATGGGGTCCAGTGACCCATCAACTGCTGGGTTGGGGAGTGGTGGTCATTAATTGTGCCTACCCAGGGGCAGTGAGGGTCCAGAAACTGTGGCTGGCCAGCCCAGCCCTGTGCTCTGCCTGGGATTCTGACTTCCTCTCCCCCCAGTGTGCCCTGGGTCTCCTTCAGCTGCTCGGAGCCTGCTGAGGGTCTATGTGGAGAGCTGCAGCAGGGCAAGGTGAAAGGCTTTGACTTCAGACTTTGAATCTTTGAGTTTGAATCCCAAGTCACTTACTAGCTGTAAGTGGGATTTTTTAAAGATTTTATTTATTTATCTTTAGAGGGGAAGGAGAGAGGGAGAGAAATATCAATGTATGGTTGCCTCTTGTGTGTCCTTTGCTGGGAACTGGCCTGCAACCCAGGCATGTGCCCTGACTGGGAATCAAACTGAGATCCTCTGGTTCACAGGCCCATGCTCAATCCACTGAGCTACACCAGCCAGGGCCGTAAGTGAGATTTTTGAACAAGTAACTTCATGCCTCAGTTTCCTCATCTGTGTAATGGAGATAAAAATCCCCAAGTGAGTTGAGTCTTGATTGAGATAATTATGCAAAGAGCCACGCTTGTAAGCATGCAGTCAACAAATGGCAGCTCCCCCATTGTAAAGCTGGCAGAGTAAACCCCAGCCTTGCAGACAATCTCCTGGGAGGTGGGGTGCTCGTGCTCTTGAGTGCAGGACCACAAGGCACATGTACAACAGCCTTTGGACCCTGCAACTGGGCAGGTTCTTCCATGGCTTTTCCTTTGCTACTCAAGTCAGGGTGGCTCTGAGGCTCCGCCGCGGTGGCCAGGAAACCGTGCTGATGGCTGGTGCTCCTTCTGCTTCTCGTAGCTCTCCACAGCCCCATGGTGTACCAGCAGAGCCCTCTGTTCGAAGTGGCTCAGAACAACACACAGGTGGACATAGCCTGTGAAGTCAAATCCTCCCCTGCTAACACGCGCATCTACTGGCTGAGGCGGCTCCAGGCCCCGAGCACGAACAGTCACTACGAGTTTCTAGCCATCTGGAATCCTACAGAACAGCCTGTGTACGGCAAGAATGTGGGGCCGGAGGAGCTGACTGTGAAACAGACGTCAACCCAGACCATTCTCAGTCTCAAAAGTGTGAAGCCTGCAGACAGTGGGGTCTACTTCTGCATGACCATCGGGACCCCTGAGCTGACCTTCGGGAAGGGAACTCAGCTGACTGTGGGTAAGATCCTGGTTCGGTGTTATCGATAGCGTGGAGCACCTACCTTTTGCCGAGCATGTCTCAGACATGGGGGCCACCCCCACTCTCGGCGAGCCCAACTCCACAGCAGGGGCCAACGGCCGTGAGCAGTCACTACAGCTAACAGTAACAGAAAGCATACTCTGAGACTCACCCAGGGCCAAGCACATGCAAATGTTTTACATAGTTCTCTCACTCAGTGCTGCCAACCGTCCTGGGAGGTAGGTACTGTTATAATTCCCCCTGTAAATGAGATGCTTAGAAGCACCACTGTTTCTTATGGGGACAGAACAGCACTGTCTTTCAGCCACATCGGGCCCACCTGAGACTGTGGCTGGGTTGGGCTGAGTCCCCAGACCTGATGATGGTCTCAGAAATCCCCTGTGTGGGCCCACAGGGCCAGTGAGGGGCAGGTGCCTCACATTCTGCATGTGAGCCTATGGCTCAAACCCCTACCCAGAGTTGCAGAGAATGAGGAGACTGGACCCCAAGACCAGCTGCAAATCCTGTTGCAAATTCATTGTGTGCCTTTGGCCGGTCTCCTCAATGGGCCTCAGTTTTCTCATCTGTGTCAAGGGGTTGCTGATGGCCCCTAAGACCCTCTTGGGTCCTTCAAAGCTGCAGTTCCTTATGAGTGAAGTCAGCACATCCAGGAGAATTCCACTGTGAGCCACAGATGTAATTTAAAATGTTCTGTCAGCCATGTTAAAAAAAGTAAAAAGAAACACATGAGATTCATTTAAATAATACATTTTATTTCACCCAACTTATCAACAGTATCATTTTAAAGTATAATCACGATGAAATCATTACTGAAATATTTTATATTACCCTTTTATACTAAGCACTGCACGTGTTTCCCATGAAGGACACAGCTCGGGCCAGGCTGGCTGTGTCCCACATGCTCAGTAGCACGTGTGGCGAGTGGCTGCTGTACTGAACAGTGAGGATTGAAAGGATCAAAGGTGCAAAGGAATCAGGGGCAGAAATTCCCAGAGGCCCACGTCTGACTTCTGCCCCTTCCCCAGTTAGCCCGGGCTGGGGCGACCCCCTGAACGCCTCCCACCATCCTGCTTCCCCCTTGCCTGGGCCCACCTCACACTGGGGGCGCTGAGAGTGTCAGGGGGCTGCCGAGGAATTAGACCACTCAGCCTGAGGTCTGCAGCAGGCTTCGGGGTTTGTTCACTGATTCCTGTATTGAAAATTGGGTTATGGTTGTCAGAGGGTGTGGGTTTGGCTTTGGTTTGTTGTTTTTGTCTCTGTAAGTCCCACATCTTTTCCACTCATGAGATTTCAGGGTCTGAGAAAGGTGGATGGTGAAAGAGCACAGCTGGTTTTCAGAAGCTCCCCCACCTCCACCCACTCACTCTTGGTTTTGACATTTCCAAAGCCCCCCGCAGCCCCGCTCCAGGAGTGGCAGTGCACCCCCAAAGCATGTGCTTGCAACTGCATCATCTCCCCAGGGGAGGGGGTCCAGCACCAGAGCCCCCCTTGCCAGAAAGTCAGTGCACTTTGAAGGAAGAAGCGGATGGTAAAGAAAGCCTTCGGGAAAGACAGCCTTTTTCAGGCCCCTTAAGCACACACCATGGGTCCCAACCCTTTCAAAGAGGAGAGAAGGGGGAAGATTTGACCTGGGTGGGGAGTGTCAGGAGGAATCAAGGGGATCTGGCTCTGGGCAAGAAGAAATTAGAATGGAACAAGGCTGTCCGCAGGCCCCATCGGACCCCGAACACCGTGCCCAGCCAAAGTACTCAGGTCCTACAGAGCTGGGCCCCTGCAGGCTCACCACTGACCTGCGCAGAGGCCTCTGGTCCTCCTCATGCATGAAGCAAGGGAATGAACGCTTCTGGGGCTTTGAGGATGAAGGGGACGACAGAGCGCTGTGGCACCCTCGCAGGGGGCCAGGCTCCTTGGCACTCTCAGAGCACGAGAGCCCCTGGTGTGTTTCCTTTCACACCGGCTCCCCCCCCCCCACTCTGGTGGCCAGGGCCAAGGGTCCACCTAATGTGCTCACTTTTTTGTGAAAGAGCATTTGCCCCAAGGCCATGTGGCACAGTGAGAGCCCAGAAGCAGGGTCTTTTGACTCAGGTCCGGGCTCTACTGTTTACTGTCTCTCACACTTTGGGCAAGTTATTTCAGTGCTCCGTGCCTAGGTTTCCTCGGGCGTGACGTGGGGACACTGGTGCCTGTCCCCAAAGCTGCTGGGCTCAGTAAACTCCAGCTGAAGTGCTCGGCACTGCCACTCGCTCATGACAGAAGCTGAGTGAGTGTTAATTCTGGTTAGTTGGCTCTTCTCAAAGCTTTGTAGAGCACAGCATGTTATCTCCACTCTCCAGAGGTGGCACGGGGTGCTGAGGGTCCCAAATGTCCACTTTTTATATGGAAGAAGCCAGCCCCAAAGTGACCAGTTTGTTGGCTGCCCTTCCCTGGCTTCTTAACTCTAGAGTTTAAGTTCAAGGTTTCACCCTATTCCCTTTCCTATTATTTTACAGAAAGTCATTTCAGTAACACGTCTTTCCTCAACTCACAAAGGCCAAGGTCGGATACAGGGGCACCCAGTGCTAATACGGTCCTGAGGCGCCTCAGGGCCTGAAGTGTCTCCCTTTGCTCTGTGTACTGGATCCCCTGTTTTATCCCAGCGCTTCAGCGTGTGACACCAAATTAGAGCACAAACAGAGCAGTGACCCACCCAGGATTCAGGAGAGGGGTTTGGGGTCCCCGCCTGGCACTTTCCATGAGGGCCTCCGAGGCCAGCTGCTCCCCCTAATTTTGCTGGCACCCACCTTTGAAATTAAAGTTGAGATTAGACTGAAGATCCCTCTGGCTCTGACTGTATATGATTTTTAAAGACACCAGAGAAGGAAAGAAAATCCCAATATATACAACCTTCATGGTGCTTTGAAAAATTTATTGATTGATTTTAGAGAGATAGGGAAGGGGAGAGAGAGAGAGAAACATGGATTTGTTGTTCCACTGATTCATGCAGTCATTGGTTGATTCTTGTATGTGCCCTGACTGGGGATCGAACCACACCCTTGGCCTTCTGGGATGACACTCCAGCCAACTGAGCTGCTGGGCCTGGGCCACCTGCATGGTACCACACCTGCAGGAAAGGCGCCCCACCTCCCTTCCATGAGCGATCTGCACTCACCTAGGGGTTGGCAGGGCTCAGGGACGCGGGCTTCAGCCAGGCAGAGCATCGTCTGCTGTGCACTTTGCTGGGCACACCATCCCCATTTAGTTCTCACTTCAGCCCCAAGAAGGGGGCAAAGACCATTTCTATTTCGGTAGATGGGAAAACTGAGGTACAGAAAAGTGATAGGACTTGCCCCAAGTTACACACTGGTGAATGGCTAATCAGGGGTGCTGGGCTCGGTTCAGGTCTGTGTAGTTCCAGAACCCCAACCCCCCCCCCCCGACTCCAAGCTGAGCCCCGTCCACAGGCCCACACACAGATCTGAGAGTTGGGGAAGCCGTTCAAAGGTTTTATTGTTCTGTGACCCCGAGGCTCTGGAGCAGCCCAGGCAGTGGTCATAAGGACTTCAGTACCTGGAGGTAGGAAGCGCAGTGTTAAATTTTATCTCTACGTCTGCCTGCTGTTGGCCTGGCTAAGATATGGGTCTTGCTTGTTTTCTGTAGTTGACGTCCTTCCCACCACTGCCCAGCCCACCAAGAAGACCACCCCTAAGAAGAGAAAGTGCCGATCATTCCCGACCCCGGTGACTCAGAAGGGTGAGTTTCCCCCACACCCCTAGATCCTCAGAAGCGCAGCAGGCACAGTCACTCCCTTTCTTCCTTCCTTCTTTCCTCCCTTAAGCTCTTCCCAAGCACACACCCTTGAACCTGTCCCCCTGGCCCTGAGCTGGGGTCAGAGGGAGGCTGTGCTGTCCTTCAGCAGCTCACGGTCTAGTGGGGGACACACTCACCAGTCATCACAGGACAAAACTTAGTGAGAGATGAGTCCACCCAAAACTTCCACACCCTTTCCCAGCATCATTATTCATAGTAGAGTCCAAAAGTAGAGGCAAATCCAATGGACAACAAAATGTGGAATATCCATGCCACGGAACACGACTTGGTCATAATCGAGAATGAATTGCTAATACATGCTGCAACATGAATGAACCTTAAAAATAGTACGCAGTGGAAGAAGCTAGTTACAAAAGACCAGATATGATATGATATGATATATGATATATGATATGATATGATATGATATATGATAATGATGATATGCTATGCTACGGACATTGATGTGAAAAGTCCAGAATATGATATTCCATAGAGACAGAAAGTAGATTCGTGGTTGCCCTAAGGCCAAGCAGTGGGGGGGGAATGAGGCGTGACTGCCAATCGGTACAGAATTTCTTTGGGGGGAAGGATAAAAATGTTCTAAAATCAGATTGTGGTGCTGGTTGCAATTTCTATGAATTTACAAAAAAAATGTGAAATTATACATTTGAAACGGGTGAACTTTACAATATGTAAATTATATCTCAATAAAGGTCTTAACTAACAAAGAGTCCAACCCAAAGGACCAGAACTTTAAACCCTCCCACTCTGATGCCTAACACACGGTATGTGCTCACTGTGTGTGTTAATGGGGGAGCTCGCTGCTCCTCCCGTGGGCACCGGACACTGCAGCTACAGCGCACACACACACACACACACACACACACACACACACATACACACGCACCCGCTTCTTGAATCCATAAACCAAATATGTTTTTAGAAAAATACTGACCTCTGTCCCCAAAAGTTGGTGGCAGCAAACAGAAAGTACCGTCTGCTCCAACCCATAGAACAAACCACACCGGGCTGCCTCGTGCTCCTGGGGCTGCTGTGTCTTAAATAGATGTAAAGTCCCAGGAAGAGTCCAGGGGACGGGAGGGGGAAGCTGCCCCATTAGGTCACTGTAAAAAGAACATCAGAATCTGTGTGCAGAGGGCAGTGTCTCAGGGAACACAAAGGTGGAGACAGAGTGACCTCATTTTACCAGTTGATGCCCCAGGACTTCGCCTAAAGGATTTCAAGCAGAGAATCTCAAAAAAGGAAGAAAGGGAAAATACAGGAGGGCCAGGAGGGCCATAAGGAGGGGCACGACAAACACAGCCCCAGGCGTCGGAGCCTTGATCCGTCCAGCCTTAAATTCTAGATGAAATCCGATCTGCTCGTCCTTATGTAAGGATAGCTGAATGATAGTGAATTCAGTAACACTTCTATAAGTGATGGATGGAAAGTCTTCTCATTTCTTGCCTCATTTCTAATATTAATCTTCAGTAAAATCCTGGGGCAAAATGTAAATCCAATGTTGGTAGGCTCCTTAAAATAAACAGACAGCTAAGTGGTGTGGAGGGGGTGGTAGGTGGTGGTTGCATTTGGGGTGGGGGCCATGGGGCAGTGTAACGTGGTCAGTCGGCCAGGCCTCGGTTATAATCCGTGTCTACCACTGCCTATACCGTGTGACCTTAGGCAAGTGATTCAGCCTGTCTGAGCCTTAGTTTCCTCATCTGTAAAATGGGGGCATTTGCCTGCCTAAAGGGAAGGAGGATTAAATGAGATGCTATCCACAAGGCATTCAGCTGGGCGGGACACCTAGACGGTGCTACAGCTTATGATCATATTGTAAATCATGTGTAAAACCCTCACGGCAATCACAGCAGGCACCTTCTCCCCAAGGCTCAGGCTGCCCTTGGAGAGACACTGAGAAGTCCCGGGGGATAGTTTCTAAACCACTGTCACAGGAGAAATGTGGCGAGATTCAGACCTCAGGAGACCCCAGTGAGGACAAGCAAGCCTAGCTGCACGTGCACAGGCACGGTTCTGGCCACAGCTCCCTGCCCAGGCAGGCTTCAGCGGGTCTGCTAGAAGCAATGGCTTCTCCTGGCTGCACTGTGGACCGGGGCTGCACTGCCGGCCCCAGCTCAGCCACGTGCACCTTCAGGAAGCCACCCTTCCTCAGAAGGGGCCCTTCCCGCCCCGCGCGACCCTGCGACCTTCACCCACTTCTGTTACTTTTCTTAAAATTACCACTTTATTGAGGAATAATTTGCATAAAATTCACCATTTTGGGCATGTCACTGATTGTCAGCACCTTTACTAAGTTATGCAACCATCTCTACAATCTAGTTTTAAAACATTGCCATTAGCCCCAAAAGATACTTTGAACTTGTTTACAGTTAGTTTCTCTTCCCACCCCAGCCCCTGGCAACCTCTAACCTACTTTAGATTTTCTGTCTCTATACTGTAGATTTTCTGTATCTATAGATTTTCTGTCTGTAGCTTTGCCTCTTCTGGACATTTCATATACACAGAGTCATACATACAAAATGCGGACTTCTCGTGCCTGGCTTCTTCTACCTGGCATCACGTGTTTGAGAGAACACAGAGGAGGTGAGAGGGGGGCAGATAGAAACCCTTGCATCTCAGAGGTGGGAAGGACTTTCAAGGACCTCTCTGCGGCCTCCCACCCAGTGCAGGGATCTCCCCCACACGTGGCGCCATCGGCCTTGGTGAAGGCGGCTGCCTCCCATGGCGGGGTACACTCGCTCCCTCCCTGCCTCTCATGCCCCCAGGCTGGGGGGGGGGGCCAGCAGGGGCTTTTGAGCATGGAGGATCTAGATTTATATTCTGGCCCTGCCTTTTGAGAAAAACCAGAACCTTGGTTTTTCTGAACTATAAAATGACAGAATAAAAATGATAGTAACACCCTCCTTTCTCTCAAGATGGAATTTTCGCAGTTAGTGTTATCCTTGGCACATAATAGGTATTCAGTGAAAATTCAAATCTAAACTCTAATTTTTTCCACCTGTGACCCCTTGCCTTTTTCCCCCATGAGTCTGCCCGTCAGCTACTCACAGGCACCAACTGTAGAGGCACCAGGTGTGTCAAACAAGGATTTGGGGCATCAATGATGGACGTTCTGCTGTCTAAGTAGCCCACAAAATGGGCAAAGGAGCAAATAGGCAACTCATAGGAGAAAAAGAAGTGGCCAATATATGGAAACCTCTGGGGCTGACAAGTAATCAAGGAATTGAAGTAAAATATTTTTCACCCACTGGACTGACAAAACCCCAAACCTTTGATAACATACATCAAGTGCCAACAGGGTGCGCAGCTGGAAATTGGAGGTGGAATCAGTGCAGCCCGTGTGCAAGGCATTTGACAGGGTCTATCAGAGCTTCAAGTGGACACACCCTACGGTTTATCAGGTCCTGTCTCAGTGTCTGCATCAGGCAGGCTCCCACCTAAGAAGAAACATACTGGGATGTTCTCTGCAGTCGTTTATAAAACGCAGGAAACAAACAGAATTGCCCACTGATGGCAAAATGATCCACAGTACATCCATAGTCAAATGTTGCTCTGCTAAAACAGAATGTTCGAGTAACAAATCCAGTGATTGCAAGACAATGTGTAGGATGCGACCCTCTGTTTTTAAAAGACCGCATGTGCCTGTGCAAACTGCGTACGTGAAGATGCCAAGGGAAAGGCACCAAATTGGCAATGGCATTTGTCGCTGTGAAGGAGTGAGGGTGTCAAGGGACGCTCATACCCTTGAACCTTTTACAGTGAAAATATATTTAGCTATTTTTTAATGAAATTAAAGTAAAAAATTTTAAAAATAAATGCCCCAAACCCCATAATCAGTTGTTAAAATGGTCTGATTCCCTTGAATATAAATAGATCTTAAATTTTAATTTGGATGTGGGGCATGACATTTTATATATAAAATTATACATGAAATTATAAAGGGGCTAGAGAAAAGACTAGAAGAAGATATGCAGACAGCGGTGTCCTCTGGGAGGTGGGCTTTTAGTTGATTTTCCCCACTGTGTGTTGATCTGCGTGTCTCAGATGTTCTGTGTGTCTCCCAGGCCCGCCCTGTGGCCCCCTGACCCTCGGCCTGCTGGTGACTGGTGCTGCGATTCTGCTGGTGTCCTTGGCTGTGTCCATTCGCCTCTACTGTAAGTGGTCCCCTCTTGGGCCATCATGGCTACCCCTTTTTTTGCTGTCAGGGGTGTCCATGAGGGTCCCTTCTTCTCTAGGGACCCTCATGGGGGGTCTGAGCCTGACCCCAGGGTGTTTCCAGCAGTGATTCTCACCTGAGGCCACGTGCAGGGGTCAGAGACCCCCCGTCTCTGGAGACAGACAAATCTGGGTCTGAATCTAACCCCACTGCTCCCCGATTTGGTGGCCTCGGGTGTGTGTCCTGGCCTCTCTGAGCCTCCCAGGGGTGCTGGGGCGGGGGCAAGGACACATACCTCCCAGAGTGGCCATCCGTACAGTCCTGCCCCAGGTGCCCAGCTAGAGCCCGTGCTTAGTGAGCAGGAACTTCTGCGGGCGGGCGGGTTGGAAGCCGTGCATGGGGCAGATTGAAGTGGGGTCTAGGCTATGTTCCCAGAAGCCAGAAACCCCCTCCCCTCTGTGAGGCTGAAGGAAACCCAGAGACGGCTGCTGCTCTCCACCACGGTGGAGAGAGAGTCATACCCTACACGCCCTCCTCCCCCCGCTGCAGGGGAGGCTGGCACAGCTGCCGCAGAGCCCAGCGCCCCAGGCTCACCTGTGCCTCCCTGACCAATTCACTCAACCTTTCTGGGCTTCAGTAAATGGGAGGGGGTGGCCACGCAGGGCTACGGACCAGACCAGAGCCTCTTTTATAGGTCTCCTTTGGCCAGGCGATGACACTTCCGGACCCTCTCCCTAGACAGAAGTGTCAGGGGCACATCTGTGCGTGCAGCTGCCTCCCACCAAGGAGCCCATTTACGCCATTCTAAGAGCTCCATAGAAGTTCAGTGATCTGCAAACCTTATTTAGTATAATATGTATGAAGCACACCTAATGTGCTTCAAAAATAAAACATTATAAAAGATAAGATAGACTCATATAGCCTTGCTCCTATTTCCTTCCTTTATGATAAAGAAAGTGTCAAACTCATTTTCACCGGGGTCACATCAGCCTTGTGGTTGCCTTCAAAGGGCTGAATGTAATTTAAGGACTGTATAAATGTAATTACTGCTTAACCGTTAAGCGGGAGCTCAGCGCTGCGGCCGGGTAGAAACAAGGTGCCGGCCGGATAAAGCAGGTGGAGGGCGGGATTCAGCCCCCCCCCCGGCCTCGTGTTTGCCCCCTGTGCTTCATCCCAATGGGAAACCTTGCACACCTCCCAAATGCACAGGTTCAAGAGCACCTGTCTCTACCACCTCTCATTCCTGATGTGCTGTGAAGGGCAGAATGGCACGTTTAAGGATACACAGACCGGAATAGATTAACCGAGTGTGAATTCTGGTCTTACCTCTTACCAGCTGTATAACTTTGGGCGCGTTACTCAGTAACACACTTGCTCCGTGCCTTAGTTTCCTCATGTACAAGACGGGCGTCGTAAGAGTCGTATCCCACGCCCAGGTGTGCTGGCAGCGCTAAGGGAGTTAAAACACATGAACCCAAGGCAGAGCCTGGCACCAGAGGAGTGGTCTGAGGTGCTAGCTGTCCCTCCCTCTCTTCACGCTCCTTGCTCCCTGGGCTTGGGGTCAGCTGACTTGGGCTCTTGGTTTCTTTTTCTAGGCCTACGGAGGAGAGCACGGCTTCGCTTCATGAAAAAGTAAGTGCTTGGGCCTTGGACCAGTGCCCACGCCGACGCCCTGGGTGTGGTCCTGGCTTCCTCAGCCCCTGCTGTGCTCACAGCCTCTGTTGGCAAGGAGCCAAAGCCAGACACCACCTTCAAAAAAAATCATAGACTCTGTAAGTCCATGGGGAGCTAGAGCTCAAGAAAAGAGATCACCTAAACAAACAAGATGTCTTTTGAGTACAGGAGAGTCAGCTCTCAGCTCTCCTGGAAGTAACGAGCTGCTCTTGCACACAGGGAGCAGGGCCAGAGATCCCAGAGGCTTACCTAGCCTTACCTGTTCTTTTGTTTGACTCGGTCCTGCATGACATGGGAGGGTTATTTTTACAGAGCAGTTGAAAGACTCGCTCAAAGCATTTGGAGCAGGAAAAGAGCAGAACCGGGTAAAAGCAAGAGCAAGTGGGTCCCTCCGGGGCCACTGTCCTCCCCACTGGTGTCGGATATTGTGCTGCTTGGTCCCGGCACAGGAGTCTGCTAGCTCCTGGTCCTGGCTCCCAGCGGTTAGCGAGCCCACCAGCTGACTCCCCCCCACGCAGGGCTAAGAAGACCTCATCCACTGGTCCCACTGAACTCTGTAAGCACAGGCAGAAGCCAAGGGACAGACGCCTCAAGGACTTGTGGACCCTGCTTGGGCCATGGACAGTGTTCTTGGGTTGGTTTTCCTTCCACAAACTAGAAAATGTTTCTCATCTACCCATCTCATTAATTGCAACCCTCTCCACAGAAAGTCGTTTGAAAATAAAGCAAGCCCAGGCCTCTAGATTGCAGAGGGCAGCAGGGCCTGGTGCCCAAGAGCTCTGGCTCCAGCAGGAGGCAGATCTGGGTTTGAATCCTGCCTGCCACTCACTCACCATGCGATTGTAGGCGAGTTGCTTCCCTGAACCTCTGATTCGGCATCTGCAAAATGGGACGACAACACCAAGCTCGCGGCCACCACAGCACGCGCTCATATCACTTAGGAGAGACAACTCTACAAGCCAACAACCAAAACACAAAATGCATTTTTAAATACTCTAAAATTATAATTTCCATATGAGCTCTCCATGTTATATGTTCCACATTATAATATATATCATATTTTGTACACATTGTTGCCTAAACATGCCTGCTGTATTTTATGGGCAATTTTCAGTGATAATTTTAACTGTACAATTTTCAACTCACATGCTGGATTTGGAAACTAACCCCTACCTAATAGACAGTAACTTGGGTGTATTTGTCTAAACCCAGGCCCCCAGAATGTTATTTTATTTTTTTTCCCTTGTCACACCACCAATTGAAGTGGAACAGCACGACATGCTGCCACTTCACCCAAAAGTGGTGTTTTCACTTTGCCCTTTCTTGAGGCTCAGTGGGTCATTAGCAAAAGGCCCAACGAGTGCTTTTCAAAGGCCCCCAGAATGTCCTTTTATGGAGAATGAGTCTCCCTTGGGGAACCACCTATGGTTCTGCCCCCCACTCGCCCTTTCCCTTTAACTCATTCCCCAGTGATTTGACACCGATCATGGGGACCTGAGCACAGTACCTTACACTTTGGCAAACCCGAGGGCTCTGAGGATCCAACTGAGGCAGAGAAGGAGCTGGGGGTGCTCATGGGGGAGGCCCTGAGTGCCCCTCACCTTCTGTTCACAGCTCAGCTTGCATCTGTTGCCTATGGTTACACTTTACCTGTGAGACAGCATTTGAACAAAAGGGTTTGTGGTTAAAAGAGCTTGAAAACCACCTCTGGTTTTGCTGTGATCCAGGTGTGGACAAAATAATCTGTGGGCCTCACAGATAAGCTGTTCCCAAGTCAAGGTGCGATTTGGAGCAGACACCCTCAGCCTAGCCTCTAACTGGCCTCAGAAAACCACTCTACCAGCGGGCCTCCAGCTTCTGGCCCCATGGTGTTCATTTGTGAAACGCTTGTCTTAGAAGGTACTGCAGGAAGTAACACTCTTCAAAGCCAGAGCCTTTTGAGCTGCCTTTTTTTTTTTAACTTTAAAGGTTTTTTTAATAATTAAGATGGGCCCTAAAAACATACTAACACAGAACTCCTGGCCCGGGCTACTAACGGAGTGATGCCCTGTATCCTTGTTTGCCATTTGTGTGCTGCAGAAATTCAAGAGCGTTTGTCTGAAAATAAGTGGTTTCACAACTTGCTGTTGTTTCCAGGTTTTATAAATGAGCAGAGAATACGCATTGGGTGTCCTGCTACAAAAACACGTTGGCCAGTATGAACGAGACCTAGAAAAACGAGAGAGAAGGGACACACTGAGTGAAAAGTTCACTGCCCCGCTGAAGCTGCCTGCTTTAACTCTGCAAGTTCCTTCTGTGGGCCTTGTGCGTGGGGACAACTTGGTAGTTGTCTGGAGTCTTACAAAGAAGGCTCCAGAGCCTGGACACTTCCTGTACCTTGGACACACTGAGCACTGAGTAAGAAATGCCGCCCATGGCACCACTTCCTGATCTTGTACTTGCCCTGCGCTAGGCTGGGCCTTCTGGGGTTGGCCGTCCAGCCACTGTCCAAAAGTTGTTTTGCCCTGGTAGGGCAGTGACACTGAGACCTGGGTCACAGCATAGCACTGGGCTGGCTTCCCTTTGTTCTTACCAGGCCGGGGCTGACTGTCCTCACAGAGGGCCCAGAAGCCAGACCCAGCTTGAAAAGGAAGCCTCCAGGAGGAGCTGGCCCCTCACAGTCAGCTCTGTCTCTAAGGACCACTGCTGGGGCCAGGAACTTGCGGTTTTGGGTGCAGGAGGCCACTTCTTCTCCCAGTGGGAACTTCTTGGTCCTTGGTCCTCATTTCTGCCTTCCAATGGCTTGTATATTTCTTCTTTCACTTTCTGTTCTCTTTTTATAAAAATGTCTTGGTTGTAAAAATAAAGTCCCGATTGAAAAATCAAATGGCTCTTGTGATGTAAAAGCATAAAAGCCATCTATTCAGCAAAGATGTCGATGCTTAGTTAAAAAGAAATGAGCATAAAATGTGCACGTCCTCATTTGTCCCCACAGCACATCATAGTTCGTGCTGTAGGCAAAGAGAAGGTGGAGGGGCTGGTAAGCACCCGGACACGCGGAGCCAGACAGCAGGTCCCTCAGGGGCTGAGGTCCCTGGCTCACTCCCAAGTTGCCTTCACTAGCACCTGTTCATTTCTGTCCGGGCTGGAAACCCACGGACTTCTGGCCTCAAGACCAGTGACCTTGCTCCAAAGGAAAGGTGAGAGGCACCAAGATGTCTGTCACATGTCCATTGATTTATTTTACTGTCTCTCAGCATCGATGGTCAGAGAAGAAAAAGGCAAGGAGAAAATGGAGAGGAGAGGAGAGTCAAGATGAAGACTCATGCCCTTTGAAAAGGTCCAGGGATCCTGTCTTAGGTCCCCGCCCTGGGCTTTAGCATCATAAGAGCTATTGAGCCAAAAAAGAGCCTTAGCCTGCGTTTATAGAAGCGCCATGCCCAGGTCAAATGAGAAGAGGGTCCCACCTGCTTATCCAGCCTGGCTCTGGACTGAGAGGTATGATATAAGAAGGGTATTGGCAAGCCAGATTCTGTTCAGAGGCCTCTGGCAGCCACAGAACACAAAGAAGAGACAGTGCAGCCACCTCTGTCATCTGATAGGCTTGCTGCCTGCGGGGCTGGAGGGCACAGCAGGACTAGGTGTGGTGGGCGGGAGTTAGAAGGGCACAGATGCTGGACGTGCTCAAGGGAAGCAAATGCTTTCTGCCCATCAGCTTCAAGGGCAATGGGACAGGCTGAGGGAGGGGGCGGGGGGGAAGGGCCAGGGTCACCTGGACCAGACTCTTCCAGGGATCACTTTTAAGGTGGACTCCTTGCTCAGAGACGTCCTATGTAAACCATAAGAGCCTAAGGCCCAGGCAGGCGGACCGCCCGCCCTCGGGACTCACACCCAGTCCGCAGTGAGGTAAGCACAGGCTGCAAGGGCCCTCATCTCACCGCAGGCTCTGCTCTGCAACTTAACAGTGTCTCCCCGCCGCTGTCTCTGGGAATGTGTTTAGTTCTTTGCAAGTTTGTGGAGGGGGCAAGGGTGTGGGGGCAGGGGTGGGGGTGGTGTGCTCCTCGGTGTTTACTGTGCCGCAGGCACCTGCCGAGGCAAAACAGCTCTGCTCGGCCTGCCCAGGGAACAGGCTTGCCTGCCAGTAGCGGGGGCTGCGGTGAGGAGGTCTGCACCCAGCACCTGGTTTTTGTTTTGAAGAAGAAACTGAGCTGTTACTTCTTTTTAGAAAGCCATTATGGCAGAATATCAACAAATAATTATTTTTTTAATACAGCTGTCTTTTGACTATCAATTCTATCTGTAGGCATTTATCTTTAAGAAACACACATCTCAAAGTTACATGCACAAAGAAATACACACCAAATTGTTTCTTGTCTTTGGCTTATCAGCCAACAATTGGAAACAATTCAAATGTCCATCAAAAGGAGCCAGTGAGAGTAACTGTGACACAGCCTTGTGAGAGAGTCCACGACAGCTGTTACCAAGCCAGGCCCCTATATGCTGGCATCACGGGATGGCCACTCAACCTGCACACATTCTAACAACATCTGTAGTGATAATTCTCACATTAAATCCAGTACATGATTAAAATTCAAGCCCAGATAAAATTGGGTAAGAGACATATACGTTAGAAGTGGGGGCATGGTTGCTCTTGGTGCAGGGTGAGTAGCACAAGGCGGCACAAGTTCGGGCGACGGCACGTCCTGCCTCTCCATCCGGGGGCTGGGCAGAGTGTGTGCGGCTGTGAAAAGTCACTGAGTTGTATGTTTGTGAGATGTCAGCTTCCAAGTATGCATATGACTGTAGATGCAGATTATACTTTAATAAAGAGGTATTTTGACATTCACAGACAGGACGTTAATGTGTAAAATCAGTATTTAAAAGTTTCTTGCTCTTTCATATTTTTTCTGCATGCACTTTTTAAAACAGAACATTGCAGTCTTGTAAAATATATAATACATTAGATATAGAATACAAAATTGAATCTGATAATAGTCTGCATATTTGATTCTTTTCTCTAATGTTATAACAAGGTCTGTGGACATACTTGTTTGTATACATGTAAAAGAAGGTCTAAAAAAATATCCTCTAAGTTTCCAATGGCAGTTACTCTGGAGAATTTCCATTTCTGAGTTGTTTACTTCCGTGTTGTATGAACTTTTACAATTCATACACTTGCATTTGGGGGGAAAAGTTTGAAAAAAGAAACAGCCTATTTTATTCTATTATGTTTTCTTTTGACTTTAGATATGGAACGTTGCACAACTGGCGTGTCTTCCTGGCGCAGGGCCATGCCAACCTTCCCTGCAATGTCTGATTTCAGTGTACATGCTGCCAGCAAGCATAAAAGGGCCCTTTTCAAAGAGGCTTTGGTCACTGTAATGTTAAAAAAATTGAAATCAGCTTAAATACCTGTCAATGAGAGACCTGTTCATAAATTATGATTTTTTCAAAATCTGTCCCAAGGAAGTCACTGTGGCGCATGCCAAGGTGGCCAGAAGCAGGGCCTCACTTTACGGGCTGTGTGACCTTGGGCAAGCTGGTAACCCTGTGAGCCTCATTCTGTCCTTTGAAACAAAAGCACCAGTGATGTCTCCCCCTCAGTCTTGCCCTGGGCCTTGTGCCGCTACAGACAGGAAGGTCTGGGAGCAGGACTGGTTTCCTCCCCTCCCTTCCTCTCACTAAGGGCGAAGAATTCTGGGCAGCAGCCTGCAGCTGGGGCGCCCAGCAGGGCCACGTTCTAAGGGGGAAGGGGGCTCCTACACCACCAGCTTCCTTTCATCCTTACTCATCCCCACCCCGCCCCAGCAGCTTGTGTCTCTAGTGTAGGAAGTGGGCAACTTGTTTTCAGAAAGTGATCCCCGACCCTGTGTGGGCTGCAGAGCTGGTGTGAATCTGCTACCCAGTCAAAGGGAAAGAGAGAAAGAGTCAGGTCTTCAGAAGCCTTTCCAGGTGTGGAAGATAAAAGAGATTTCCTCTGTCACTTCTTGGGAAACCTCCTCAGATGCGTCACTCACTCCTCGGTGACCATGAGTCACTGGTTCCTAGAGTCTCCTGGCTACATAACTCGGTGCGTTTACTCAAACAGAGGGAAGCCGTATTCCCCAACACCACGGCAGCTGGGGATTCACAGAAGTGTGCACGCCCGTGAACGCAGCAGTGCCGTAAAGGTGCCTCTGCACTCCTGCCCGGTGTCTTTGGCTAGTCAGGAGTTCTTTTCTTTCTTTCTTTTTTTTTTTCCATTAAATTATTGCCTTCGACATGCAAGTACCCATTTGGAGCTTAGCATAGGCTTCTGAATTTGAAAGGAAACCAGCTACATTTCTTTCATATATTTTTAATTGTGGACCATCTCCCATTAAGTCCCTCATTTATGAGTGAACTCACCCTGCTCCTCTCTCTGCAGTTAGTACTCCTATTCCTTAGGCTTCTTGCAGCCAGTTCAAATACAATTATTTAGGCACCTTGCGTGTGCCCGCCTACTCTGTGCTGGGTCTGGGGGTGGCCGGGACAGACTCAACCTCCAGGGCGCCCACCTTGCTCATTGCACTTAGCAAAGAGGCTTCTAGGCTTCATTTCCCTTCTTACTGGCCAGTCTCTCACCTCCTGGGGGACCAAGCCCTGAGGGAGCTGCCATGCTACAAATGGTCAGCATTCCCAAGCCTGGAGGCCAGAATCTGAATGAACGAATACAGGGAGCAGAAGGCTGGTCCAGGAGGTCCGCAGGCTCCCGCAGCAGATTCTGCTCCAGATGTCAGTGAGGGAGGCTGGGAAGCAGGTCTTCTCCCTTGGCGCCCCTCTCAGCGCCTTTCCTGCCAGCATCCTGACCCGGCACCCCAACACCCAGCTCCTCCAGGCTGCGAGGACTAGAATTCCCCACACTTCTGAACGTTTGCTCTGCTGAGTGTAGTCGACAAACCCCATGGAGAACATATTGCTCAACAAATTAGATATTAACTGAGCACCTTTCGTGTTCCTGGAACTAACACGTGAACACATGCAGACACTGTCCCCGACCCGTGGGCTTACATGATCTTGGGGGACACAGACACAAGACCAGCACTTGTGTGACCCCGAGACTGCCCTCGGCACCCCATCCACCCCACCCTAGCGCCAGTCATGGACAGACAGTACACCAGTGAACAGGTAAACACCCAGGCAACGTGAACACGGGCAGAAGGCACAAACTGCCTCCTCAAAAAAGGTGTGTTTCGTGATACAAGAGTTTGCAGCCTCTCACAGGAGATTTTGTGGAGGTCTCTGCAGTTGGGTGGGGGCAAAGTTAAGAGGGGAAGATTTGAAGTGTTGGTGGGGAGGTGGAAGCCCACCTTCCCCAACACACCCTTCCCAGTGCCTCTTCAGCATCCTGTGGGCCGAACGCTGGTGGTGTGGCTAGACCTGCTGGCTGGGTAGGACCAGGCCAAACAAAGGGGAGGCCTGGACTCCTGTCCCGCTACCCTCCCCCAACTCCAGGCCCCCAACTCCAGGCCTCAGCCAAGCTTGGGGAGGAGGGCCTGGGGAGCAAAGAGCAGTGGGAGACTCAGCCAGCACAAAAGACAGGACTGGCTGGAGATCACCAAGCCCCTGGGTGGGCAGTGCAGGAGAAGGGGAGTTTGAGTTGTTCCTTCCATCCCTCGTCTTCCTCACAGCCACGAGGGTGCTTTGGTTTCAGGAAGGGGAGCGAGGCTGAATTCCACAAGAGCAGCAGACCTCTGTGGGAGTCCTTTCCTGGGCCCCACTCACAGCCCACCTCCCCAGAAACTCGGAGAACCATCCCTGGCAGCCAGTATTGTGGCGTCAGGGTTGAAGGAGGTGAGGAGAAAGGTGTGCTGGGACTCACGCGAACCAGTCCTTGCTCTAATGGTTTCTCACAGCTTCCTC